ACCCTTCTGTGGGGTGCTTTGTGACCCATTGCGGTTCGGGGTCTTTATCAGAGGCTCTGATGAACGAGTGCCGATTGGTGCTGCTGCCAAATGTGGGAGATCAGATCATCAATGCAAGAATGATGAGCAGGGATTTGAAAGTGGGAGTGGAGGTTGAGAAAGGAGATGAAGATGGGGTGTTTACAACGGAGGGTGTCTGCAAGGCTGTGAAAACTGTGATGGATGATGAGAGTGAGGTAGCCAAGGAGGTGAGGACCAACCATGCTAAGTGGAGGGAGTTTTTCACTGGCAAAGGGCTTGAGAACTCTTGGTTAGATAGCTTTGAACAGAAGCTGCATCAACTGCTTCAATGAATTTTCTGTGTGTAACTTTAAAGGCCCCCTGATTGCTTTAATTCACACACACACGCACACTTGTACAATTTTGCCAATCTTATAATTGAGTTTTATTATTATTGTTCTTTGACAAACAGACAATACTTTAATTCACCAATTTCTTTTGTTATGTGTGACAAACGATCTTCTTAATCAAATTCTTTTTTTTCAAGTTCGTAAACATATATTGAGAAAGAATTGAACATTGACTCTTCCTTTTCTAAGATGATGATACACAGCTAACTTTTTGACGTTTTGTTCTTGACGAGAGTTCCAATATCTCAAAGAGGGGTGAACATTCTGGTTTGCACCACTTGATATATCTCAAAGATGCTCCAAGATCTAAAACTCCACACTGCAGGTGCCAAACCACATGCAGTGCCAGTGGCATCACCAAGATGTGCATGCTCATCCTTATGCGCAATTACCAGACGATAATTATCGAACTGGCCTGGCCAAAGCAAAACAGGCATCTGGCTTTACTGACATCAACAACTCTATGACAGCAACCTCATTTGGACGCTGGACCTTAAGACCCGGTTCTGTTAAACCTATTTGAGACAATCTCAAAGGTTAGTGGCAGCTAATAACACAATAATAATATATTACAAAAACAGCTAGCACTTACCAGGTGAAAGTTTTCGCCCTCTGTATAATTCTTTTGCTAAGGGATTGGCAGCCCAATGGTTAACAGCCACACTGCTCAAAGGTTGGAAGCCCACTATCTTACCGTCGGTTGACAGAACCACCTAAATTTTTCCAAAGAGTATGCAGAAATGTTAAAAACATTGAAAAGGTACAAGGAGGATAATTAACAATAGAGTAATAAGCTGAGAGCTACATGATCATGATTTTCCCAAATACCACATGATGGCAATGATATGGTACACCAGCATCCTAAAGATGTAACCTATAAGACATTTCTCCATATAGGTGGTCACAATATCTTAGAAATAATTGTGAAGGAGAAAGAGAACCAGATTGAATGGTGGCTGAAAAAACACATGAAAGTAAACTTCTACACACAAGTTACCTGATAACTAGCGATATCTTGTGCTGATGCTTTCAAGTCTTCATCAATTTTCTCTGAAGAGGAAGAAAAAGATGACATGTCTTCCCTGTTGGACGAATCAACTACCATCCTCAAGTAATTTGGGACTTTACCAGTCCAAGCACCCACATCTGTTTCCATCTTGATCTCACCCGGCCAACCCAGGGCATCTTTTATCTTTTTGACAAGTGAGACGCAAAATGCTTCCAACTGTCCAAATAAAGTCCCAAATTCATATTTTTCTCAGACCAATTAAGAAGTAGAGAAAGATGAGGCGAAAAGGTAAATCTTTATTTTTCATTTCATATGCAACCTGCTTCTCATTCTCCCATTTTTGGAAGCCTCCAGTGAAAATTGTTCACAAACTAATTATAGATAAGTTTATTACATAATCCAAAATATTTTCGATTTGGTTGACATGATAATATCATCCTTTCGGTGCATACATACCTTCACAGCATCCACCGACTGATATAGTGCACCATCAACTTCAGATGATGGAAAAGACCTGTCTTCTCTCAAATACTTTGCACCTTTATGTGGATAGGGAAAACCAAGTTGGCCAAGGGCACTGATTGTAATGAGAAAAATTCCACTTGCAAGGGTGACAGATAGCATTCTTAACAAGAAAGAGCCCATCTGAAATAAACGTAACCAGTTAGCATCGCACCGATTTCAAATTCATTATCCAATCTGAACTCAATTGATCAAAGGGTCCCAGACATACCTGCAGCAATTGCAATCTGGGTTGAGAACAGATCTAATAACAAACTTTTACATTTGTTTTACAAAAATCTTCACATGCATGCTTCAGGTCTTAAATGATTAACTTAACCAAGAGATAAAGAAAACATATGCACTTAAGTACCTTCTTATTTGACAAATTAGTGGAATTTGCAACAACACCACATGATAGTTGCTTATCCGGCATTGTGTAAAGATCTTCGTAATACATATCTATTATGTCCGCCAATCCAACCTACAAATTTTGTAAACCAGAGTCTTAATATTCCATAAATCAATAGTTCACGACTGAGATTAAGTTACACTACACTTAAATGCTAAAGAAGCAATAGTTAACGTGGCTCTATCATAAATAAACTCCTATTATAGGAATGAGAGGAGGGGAGAATGAAAATTCTTTATCACGTACATCATCATTCTATTTCATATAGATTTGAACTAGAAACCTCATTACATGGACACTTAACATGTTTAGCATGTCTTCAGTATCCAAATTACAGAGACCATGACAAGAAACACTGAAAGCAAGAAGACTGACGACAAGGAAAGAAAAAAGTACCATTTGGGAGTGTGTCAAAAAAACTTCACACCAATTTTCTGCAGATTTTCTCCAGCCTTCAAATTTCACATCTTTATGTTGATTAGCATCAATCTGTAGCCGGTAAGCAGGAACATGCTCACTAGTCCAAGAACTAAACTCAGGACCACCAATCTTTTCCAATTTAGAGAGTGCAGTTGGTGTCCATCGATGGTACTTGGATTTTGTTTTTACAGGCTTAAAACTTCCCTTTGTTAAATTAAAATTCTTCAGCAGACTCTTGGCATTTTCAACTATCTCATCTTCAAATAGTTTGTACATGACAACTGAGGAATCTTTTGATACAGTCCTTTTAGGCTTTCGGAACCAGCGGACCAGATTACTTTCAGTTTTGCCCATGAAATCTTCAAGAAATTGTCTTTTAGTGTTTTCAAGAGCAGATATGCACACAACTTCTGCGAGCACAGACATAATCCGTTCATCCGATGAACTAAGGGTGAAGGATGGAGGGACCTGCTGATACGAAATGCATAAGAGAACTGAACCTATCAGTATCACATGGCACCTGCAGGACAGAGATTATTATGATATTACATTTTACAAGAAAGTCATGCAGGTGTAAAATTCCTTAAGCAGAAACCATTACAAATAAATAACAAAGACAAACCTCTCTTGGGTTCTCCAGATCCTCCATATTCCTTTCTGTTCCAGGTCGAAAGACAACCAGTTCGAAGTTCCAAAGCAGTTGTAACACCACTTGTCTAAATGTCATGGAAAGTATGTTTCTGGACGTAGCGGTTGACAGCATATCTTCTGTGATGGACCTTCTCAGTTTACCAGCTTTTTCTTTAACTTTTCTAGCAGGCAGAAACTGTAAAAATGTCAATTTCAAACCAGCCATTCAGAGAAGAAAAAATCAAAAGGACATGGCATGCTTTTAATGAGAAACAAAATTATAGATATAAATGAACTGACCAGCCGGGTCGAGACTGTGCTGTGGGGGTCCGAATGGCCCGGGAACAAGGTCTCCACAACCATAGCTGGCATGCCCGAGCTGATATGCTCGTCGGCGGCTTGTCCTCCATCGGCTGCAGCTGCCGTCAGAGCCTGCTCGAAGTCGACGGCGCCGACTAAAGCGAGACAAGCCGAGTCGTTCTCGTACGTCCTTACTCCGGGAAGGACTCTCTCGTCGGACTCGGCCACGGCTTGGAGGACCTCTTGCTCTGTAAATGGGACATCTTTCTTAGTAGAACGGGCGAGGGTAAAATGGAGATTTCGAGGGGTTCCGAGGGTTTTAGTGGAAAGAGAATGACGAGGTCTTAAGGGAAGCAGAGGATTGTAGAGAAAGACGGATTGAATGGACGCCATTAGTGAGTTTGAGCTCTGAACACGGCTTTAGGGTTTATGAACGTTGTGGTAGAGAGGTTAGGGATAGTGATTTATGGGCTATATTTGGGTCGGGTTTAATTTAATCGGATCCTAAGTACGAAACGGCACGACGTCGTTTCGGTTCCCGCTTGAACCGCTTGGTTCTCCTTGGCACATTTTAAAGCGTTTCTAATTCACAGGGGGAGGGGAACACTTCGATATCCAAAATCTGCAACAATAGTTAACAAGTCGGCTGGTTCTTCATCGATTTCCGTAAGTTTTTCCTTCTTTCTTTTGTTAACGGTTTCTTTGGGGATTGATTGATGCAATTTCTGCATGTTTACACCTGTTTGGTTGCCGAGAAACGAAGAGGAAAAAGGAAAAGCAGTTCTTATATACACTTTAGGTAATATTTTTAAAATAAAATTCCGAAACTTTATGTGTTTCTTGTTCTGGATGAAGAAAACAAAAAAAAAAATAACAAAATTTGGGAAGTGATCGTATGAAATTTTCGCGTTTCTTTTTTCTTCTTTGTGAACCATAATCTGGTAGTGTAGGGTTTAAATTTTCAGAAGCAAAGAAAGCAAATTTTGCCATTGGACTGATTATATTTATTAAAAATTATCTGAGTTTACATGCGGAAATTTTTTTTTTTTGGGGTATGTTTGTGCTAATTTTGTGTCGAACGTAATCGTAACAAATTTTGCATTTCTTATTTTTTTATTTTTTTATTTTTATTTTTATGTTCAATTATGGGATGAGATTATGCTGAGCCATTGTAAAAGGCTGAAATGCTTGGCTGTGGCTGTGAATTAAAGGTGGAATTAGCAACATTCTTGTTTAAGCACTAACTTTCTTCCATTAATGATGAGATATTGACATTAAAGAAAGGATTTGAGCAATGGGGAAGAGGAAGTCATCGGCAAAGCCGCCTCCTAAGAAGCGGATGGACAAGCTTGACACCGTCTTCAGCTGTCCCTTCTGCAGCCATGGCACCAGTGTTGAATGCCGCATGTGAGCATTTTATTCAATCCCATGTCTGATTTATGAGTCTGTTTAACCGTATGTAAAGGAATGCATAGCCCAGAATCAGTTTGGGAGGTTCATATTTAGTGTCAAGATTCTGGATTTTCTAGTCATGTAACTCAATTTTATTGTTTATCTTACCTCAGTGACATGAAGAACTTGATTGGGGAAGCTTCTTGCAGAATATGCCAAGAGAGCTTCAGCACTACTATCACAGGTCTGTTCAACACTTGGTACCTTTGGCAGATTAATGCTTGTTTATGTATTTTGAAATCTTATATTCCTTTTCGTTGGACTCGATTTTTAACTAGATAATGTTTGTCACTGGAAATTTGGGATAGTCAAAACACAGCCTGTGGGGTGATATTGGGTTTAGCCACCTTTAATCACTGATTCACTTTGGCTAAGGAGGATATGAAGCACTGCCGGGTAAACCATGGCTCCAATCGGGGACTGGGCTACTGGAAAGCAGTCTCAAACAGGGAAATGTGGGATGGAGGGCGGAAAAAGCTTGTCTTTGTTTCACAGAAAAAGGACTAAGGAAATTTCGTTTCCGTAGTGGTGATGCTGGCATCAGTTGACCTGGTTGAAAATTATATGAAGGGCGATACCACTAGCCAAATCGCACTAATGTAGTTTTTTTGCCCTACTATCCTACGGGAGCAATTTAAACTCTTAGTAAGTCTAGGCTAGGGCCCAGGCAACTCATTCTAGTCTCCCTAAGGTTTGATAGGTGAAGCATTTAGCTTAAGGGGGGGCATGGCGAATCACTGAAAGACCCTCATTTCAGGATCAGATTATGAGTTTTGTGTTGCCATATATTCTACCTATGTCTGCCCTAGAAACTTGTTATGACAATGTAATTTCTTAGAAATATATGCAGTTTTTTTTTTTTTTTTTTATAACCAATTCGGATTTTCTTCTTGTATTCGCAGCTTTATCTGAACCAATAGATGTGTAAGTAATCTCTCTCTCTCCATCTCTTTCACACACTCATTTATGTGAGAGTTTTAACTCCGCGGCTATTTTTACTCATGCAAAAGTTGCAACTCTGCAGCTACAGTGAATGGATCGATGAATGTGAGAGAGTTAACAACCTCGAAGATGATGGTGACGGTGCTTAGGAGAAAGCCAGGTTGACGGGAGCTTCACTATTTCGGGCGAAATCAGTTTGTATTGAATAATTTACTAATCCATTTTGAAACCATGCTTGTCATGCTCTTTAAAATCTTTAGAGATTCCAATCCCTACGTAATGCAAAATATCACTATGTAACTTCTATGTGATGGTGATGCATGCAGCCCGCTTATGAGAATTGTAGCCCTCCCCTCTCTAATGCAAATGTTTCACTTATTATTTGTCACGCGAAATGCATTTGTTTCCTTTTAAATGCTAAGTTATTACGGTCAGCATAGCCGTACGTCATCATCGTTTTGATGCCAAACTCTCAACTCTAAGCTTTCGGTTTATGCATGATCCCGTCATCCTGTCGCTGCGATTGCATCAGATTTCTGAGTGATTGTTTTAAAATTTAAAGGAGGATAAAAGAACAAAGTACATAAATAGATAGAAGGGTCATATTGCAGATATATACCATTCAAGGACGACATACCGTCTACACAATTTGCATAAATGTTTGAAAACCAAGACCAAGATAGAATAATTGTGGCAATGGTGTTCCATCCAACCTATTCCAGCTTCGGTGACAATTAGTTATAAAAGTGTACTGAGCAGAAGTTAGAATATGCTCCAGCGTCCAGAACAGTCTAAGGCGGCATTCCGTGGGAGGATGAGCTATTCACAGTATGTCCATAGAGCAAAAAATGAGCTTGACTTTGGAGTGGAAGAAAACGGAAGACCCTTGACAAGTGAAGTGAAAATGCATGACCCCCGCCGCCGCTTAATATAAACTATCAACTAAGGATGGGCATGCAGCTTATTCACGCCCATCAAACTTCTTTCAGTTAAGTTAGATAGTAGCCGTTGACATTTTCGACAAGATAGTCGTATGGTGCACCAATCCCATAGTCAAATGTCCCATTTGTTGTTGCCCCTCGATTTGGAGTGTAATAGACATTTCCAACACCAACCTTCTCATTAGCTTTGGCCCTGCCCTTGACACAGCGCTTGTTATCCGAGGGGAACTCGGCAGAAAGCCTTCCCATCTGCTTCTGCAGATCAGCTACTGACTCATTAGTTAGCTTCCCCTTGGAATTCTTCTTCCCATCAACAAGTTTCAGTTCCAATCTATACAAGGCACAAGCATCACACTTGTTGATCTCATATTCGTAAAGGTGCCACTCAAAATGGTTCAGGGGTTGAGGATCCATATAGTAGGATCTCTTCAGCCCTCCAAATTCATTCATCACTTGCTTCCTCGACTCATGCCAACCTCGTCCATTGTAATCTGGCAATGACCTCTGCTTTCGGTTACCACTCTCAAAAGCTCTTCGAGGCTTATCAAAAAAGAGCCACTCCCTAATTATCTCGCCCTCAAGAACCAAAAGATCAAAGAGTTCTGAAATCACAAAGATTGATCAGATAAAATTCACAGTGAAAGAAACTCATGACTTCTATAGAATTTTCACAACTCAAAGATTAAAAACAGTATAAAAAATAAAAAAAAACAATGCACTTACCAGGTGCATTCCATGGAGACTTTGCAGTAGCAGCTCCCTCACACTCAGGAATACCTACATCTTTTCCTTGTGCCTTCGCACTAAGAGCAGCAAAAAGTAGGCCATCCTTCAGGCCAATGCCCCCAGGTCTAAGGACCGGACCCATGCCAGGTGGTCCTTCATTCAATGCTAAAGCAGCATGAAAGCTACTGCAGTAGTCTTGCCACCAGTCCAATCCTTGAGCAGGCCTTGGGCAATCCCAAAGTGCACATTTCGGGCCCAAGAAAGCAGAGGGTGGAGGGCAAATACTTGGTAGATAAGTAGAAACATGAGGCAACGCATCTTCCCCACTCAAAGCTGTGCTATTAAAACAAGTATAGAAGTTGTGCTCAAACTCTTGATGCAATTCATACTGATGATAGTCCAAATGATTAGCCCCTTCCAAATTGTTAGCAGCAGCATTGTGAACTCCCGAAGGGGAGCTTTTGCACTGATCAGCCAATGGGAAGCCAAGTTCATGTTGCCCCTGATTCACAGTAAATCCCTGAAATATGTTGTTTACAATAACCGGTGAGTGCTCATATACAAACTGATTGACATTTCATTTCAAGGAAATGAAAAATTATAAATCTTATAGATAGGATAGACAGCAAAAATGAACCAAAACCCCCATAAAGGATTTTTTTAACAGTTAAGAAAAGAAAGAAGAAGAGGGGAAGACAACCTCATGAAAGACCAAACTTTCTCCAACTTGCAAATTTTGATCATTAGGCTCGGGCTTCGGTGCAGCTAATGGACTAGTGGCATCATCTTCCTCTTCACAAAGCTGCAACAGCCGGCAAATGTCTGAAGAGAAAGAACCAAGACTGCCGCCCTATATTTACCGATAAACACCACAATTTTACAACCACAACTTTTCAAACAAAAGCATAACCAAGATATTCCACAAGTTGATGTATTACATCCAATCACATATGTCGATACACAAACTTGTAGTTAAATATCTCATTCCACATACGCACTCAAAAAATATATGTATATTGTATAGGATCATGATGCTAACTTGCTGCAAGGAAGAAGCTGGTGAGGGCTCATTTAGCTCGGCTTTCCATTCGCGCAGCATCTGATGGACTTGTTCTTCAAGGAGGATAGCATCAGTGGAGCGGCTCTCCTTTCTGGCGAATAGGAGGTCCATGAACATTCCCTGCAAGTCATCCACACGGTTCTTTGCTTTGTCCTTGAAAAGCTTATGAGAAGCAGACTTGCAATTACTCTTGGAACCCTTCCTCATCACAAACCCCGCCCCCGCTTTCACTTCTTAAACCCTACAATTCACAAATCAAACACAAACCCATCTCAGAATATCAAAAACCCATCAACATTTTTTGAGCTTTAAACAGAAACACCAAGCACTGACTTTACAGTCCCACCTCAGATTCCCAGAAGCCCTCAATAATTCAACAAAACACACACAACCATATTAAAATCAATAAATCTTCAGGTAGACTTCGTTGGAAAGTACATAAAACAAAACCAAAAAAAAAAACCTGAATTCCGAATAACAATCACGAAAAATCACCAAAAGTTGAGACCAAATTCGTTAAATTAATTTAACTTAAAGGAAACTAATTATATGAACGAGAGTGAACCTCTATAATCAGAAGCAAGCAAACCCAAATTGATATGAGAAAGAGTAAAGCAGTTAATCGGAACTTATTTTCTTCCGACTGTCCAAAGAGAAATGGGATCGCAAAGGCTTGAAAGGGTTTGGCAGCAAGCAGAGGGGTGAAGCGAGAAAGCTAAAATAGAAAGGGAAAGTGAAATATTCGACCCAAAAAGAGATGCTTACCTCCTCAAAGTGTTTGATGCCAATTTCCAATCCACACACACTTCTTTCTTTTGTGGATTTGTGTTGGACTGAGGGCTCTCTCTCTCTTCTGTAGGATGAGTGATTTCTAGTGAAAGTAATGCGCGAATGCGAACGCGGGTAGTAAAGAGTTAGAGGAATGATTTTGTTGGAAGGGCTTTATAGCTTCCCTATCTTCAAATGGGGATAGGTCGGTGTCCAATTTACCCTCTTTTATTTTTCCTTTTCTTCTTGTTTTTTGTCCGGATTGTTTACCCATTATTTGCCAAAAGAAAGTGCCTTTTAACTTTATAAAAATAAATAATAACAAGTATCTTTATAATAAATAAATAAAGTCTTAGGATATAAGGTATGAAAAAGAAAAGATTAAAGTTTTTTTTTTTTGCAATTTTCGTTTGGAAAGGTTAAATTTTAACATCTATAAAAAGAGTTAGTTCGTATGCCTCACAAATTTAGGATTACAATGAACTCACATTTTTACATTATATATGTGTATGAAGAGGATCATTACTCTGTGTATACAAGATTTTTGCAAATTTCATTTTGATTAGAGTTATGTTAATGGGCTGTAACTCAATGGAAAAAGACATTAACTTGTATATTAGTGGTCTCAAGTTCAAAATTCCGTGACACTTTGTTTGTGTGTGTGTGTAAAAGAAAAACTCTCCTCCCTTTTGTAGTTTAGACAATCACTTGTATTTTATAATATTTTTTAAAAGTTATAAATATTTCCACTTATGATTAGAGTTCGACTCGTTGTCACTTTGCCTCTTCATAATAAATTGCAAACCACATTGACGGTGCTATATAACATGTTAAAACTTGATTGGTGTATTGGAAGAGCTGTAAAGGATGATAATCTAAGAGAAAAACAAGTCGTGTGGATTATAGGTTCAATAGTAATCAAGTATTGCTAGTCTTTGGTGGGAGAGAAGGGAAAGACAAGTCGACCAAGGAAGGTATAAAGAGCGCATCCACTACCATCGACCAGATTCCTATTTGAATTGGATGCCACCTTTTAGATAGAAGATAATTAAAGGGATGGTTGTGCATGGTGTTATGTGTATGCTCACTACTCAAGATAATCAGCATCTTATGTTTTAGATATAACGTTAGGCCGTTAAAGGGAAGACAAACTTGGGATATCATTGATTTACTATCCCAATCAATCATATTCCGTCATGATTTCACATAACGAAACATAATTGAAAAAGAATAGCAAAACAATGTTATCTCCGTGACATGCAAGTTATTCTTGTTAAAGGAGTGATAATTATACAATAGAAAAACAAATAAAAAGGACTGGATTAGTAAATTGGTGAAGATACATGGGGAAATAGTTGCTGCTAAAAAGTTAAAATGGAAACTTTATATCCGAGGAGACTCTTTATCAGTCCCAAACTTTTTTCCTTCATAGTTTGTAACCAAAAAAATAAAAGAAGATAAGGCTGCAATTTTATTACATGAACATCATCATGTAACGCTGTATGTCCGGCATTGAAGTCAAGATGCGAGAGTATTCTTCTTTCTTTTTTCAGTTTTTTTTTTTTTTTGGTGGATTAGTAAATGTAAAAAAAAAGAAGATAAAAAGGAACAACTTCACCTGCTCTAAAATATGATTAATCCAATCAAATAGGGAATATATAAAAGCTGACAGTGACTCAATCCCATTGCCAAATCTTAATGAGAAAGATTAGCTCTGATATCCCAAAAAATAAAAATAAAAGCCAATAAGATTTTCAAGATAAATAGCAAAATTCACTTTCCCACTGAAGTATAAGGGAAAAAGAAAAGGGAGCACAGCCATGCAAAACCAACTTGTAGGTCTTAGCAGCACCTATCCACTTCTGTTGTATTGTATTGATTTCGACTGCCCTGAC